AAAGTGATAGAAAAGGAATTTTAACTCACTATTATAGCTCCAGTCGGATCAATCCACCAGTGGAAATGAATAGCTAGGACAGCCGTTACTAAACCAACAGAATTAGTAATCACATCAAATAAATGATCCTGCGCATAGGCTCTAACAATTTCATTTTTGAATTTCCGGCAATACACCATGAGAACGAACTTCACTACTGTCACGAAAACCATGATACCAATCATCCATTTCTCTTGCTTGTGATTGATCTCTGGGTGGGACTATAGCCACAAAAGGAACAAAAATAATAAACGAGTAAAAAATAAGTTATGGCCATATCAAAATGATTAAAGAAACTAAAAACTTTTATGTAAATGCAGCATCTGACAGATGCTATGTTTATTAAATCAAAGTAGCATACCTTTGCAACAAGTTCCCTGACAGACTCAAGTAATATTTGTAATCCTAGAGTTGCCATCACTGAAGCAAAAACAATGATACCCTGGATTTTCAAGCTTGGTTAGTAAATATTTATTGTAAATGAAAAAAAAATACCAATTTCTATTGAAAAATTAGTTCAAGAGGTGAAAAAAGGCAATCTGAAGAGGGAGTTCTGTGAAGCTTAGATCAACAGAAGATAATCTTTGAAATTAATCATAACCTTATGTTAGACTGGAGACCCTAAGCAGTAACTTACCACTGGCTGCATTCGTTTCTTTCCAATTGGATAGTGATAACGGTTGGGGGTTTTCATGGCATTTGCTGTGAACCATAGAATAAATCCTGACAAAAGATCCAAGAGTGAATCCAAAGTTGATGCAATGACTGCCAAAGATTTGCTCTCAATAGAAGCATAGACCTTTGCAGCAAAAAGCACCAAATTAGCAATGTTGGATGCATGGACTGCCATCCTCTCACTCCTAGCAAGTTGCTTCATTTCATCCTGAGTTCAGAAAGGTATTAGTGGATAAAATTTTGCTTTCTGTAAAAAATGGATCCAAATAGTTTGAATCTCCTACTAAGTAATACAACAAACAGATGTAATCAAAACATTGTGGGGAAAAGACCAATGAAGAACAAACAACCTCCGTTAGGCTTCCAGGCAAACAATCCATCTCATTCATGGCCTCCACTTCATTAAATCCTGCGAGGAGCCTTTCTTGCTTTTTATAGTACTCTGAGACCTTGCGCTGTTTCTCTGAGTCAAGTTTGAAAGAAAGAAAATCCAATAAAAAATAAATCATAACATCATAAGTGAAGGCTAGGTCAAAACCAGAACCCAAGTGCTCCAAAATTATGGATATATATTGACACATGCATTACACAGATTAACTAACAACACAGAGAGATAAATCTTGGTAATATAAAACGAAGTAACATCAAAGAGATTGCGCATGACATCATATTGCAAACTGACTACGAAATGAAACTACAATTACCTGTTATACATGTAAAAAACTGTTACATGGAAAAGAAACAGAAAGAAAGATGATTTTATGAGCTTTTGCCTTCATTATTGTTGTGAATTGCTAAGAATCTAGAAAAGCCTTGTAGGTAGCTGAGAGTCAGAAAACGTAGGTCAGCTTCTTCCTGTCAAATCTATGATGCAATCAAAAGAAACCCTTTGCATCCATAACTGCTAATCAAACACCTCACAGAATAACAACATCATACAAACTCTTGAGATTATTTTTGTTAATATCAAAGAATTAGTCCCAAAGTTAGTGTTTGCTTAGCACTTTTTACAATAATTTTAAATTTTAGGAAGATCATATACAAACAGGTTTGTTAATAGCCTCCTTCTGCTTCACCACAGCTAAAAGAAATTAAGCTTAAAGGGTCCAATCATTGGATGACCATCAAGTTCTCCAAGGACCAGCCCTTAAATCATAAAGCTCGAGGTCTAAAAGTTGACGAACAAGGCCAGGATATATTTTGGAATTTTGTATGTCAATCTTTGGCCTAAGTCTCAATGTTATCTCGAAGTTTTTCTTTCTGTTTTTCTTTGTTTGACAAAAAAAAAGAGGCTGAATTATCAAGAAAAAGTGGGCCTAATAATGATATTGGTATCTTGTTAGGACAAAGAATATTCTATATATGTTTAATTAGTGTAATAAATAAAAGGCCCCTTGGCAAAATAAGGAAAACATTTACAACGAAATCACACTTTTGCCTTGCCTTTTTCCATAATGCTTCAGTCAATTTAAAAAATACCAAACTTGCTAAATAGAAAAGAAGATAAGGACTAGCTCCAATAGCAGTTTTGCCAAACATTTAAAACTTTTAGAGACAAGCAAAGTAGGATTCCACTAATTAAGAAATGGGATCATGTTTATCATCAACTAGATACGGATCACAAACTTATAAATTCTCTTATAAAACCATGAACTCATTCCACTAAAGTTGTTAATGGCTACCTACATATATTGGGGTGTATATGATGAAAGCAGGAACAACATGTTTGCTTATATATAATGGGGTTAATTTGATGTTCTGTTTGAAGGGAAAATGGAATTGTAAAATTGGTTCCTTATCGTGAGTGAATTGAATTAAGATAATCCTATTCTTCATAATTCCTAGTGGAGAAAGCGATGTCTTGAGTGGAAATTAATGATACCTACTTGTTTCTTTCTTTCTTGTCATGCGCACCTTTAATACATACATACATATATATATATATATATATATTGAAATTAAAGTTAAGATATATACAAAGATTTTCAAATGCCTAAGCAGAAACAAAGATAAGCATAGGTACCTCCCCCAAAAGTGAATGAAATTATCTTTTTGTACACAAAACTCGTGACCCTTTCACATGCTACCATAACAAGTTCAAGGACCACCAACAGTTAGAAAGCAGAATACTTTCCCAAATGAACGCAAGTTGAAAAGAAAATCCATTTGCAATTGCACAAACCAGTTTATTCTACTAGGAATTAAAACACAACTCGTTTTTCTGAAAACAAAGTTTTGGCTTCAAATAATAAAGAGAAGGAAAGTTGTAAACTTGGAATTGAATTCAGTCACAAGGCAGGAAAGAGAAAAGGAATCAAAGTGGGTTACTTGGTATCCACCGTTCACTTTGATGATGTCAAGAAAGAAAAGACAAATAACTTACTTGGGGTACAAAGCAGGGGAGAGAAGCGAGGGCCAGGGTGGTGATGAGCATCGGAGCTTGGTCCTTGTTGGGGCAGGCGAAACTTGTCGAGGGAGAGACGCCAAGACGAGGATGCTTCTGCTTCTGACGGCTCATCCTTTGACGGTAGAAGCTCTGTGTTGCAATCTTCAACGTTAATGCCACTCTCAGTAGTGCCCTCCATTTTCTTTTTCAAGGGGAAAACAAAGGACCGACTCAACTCAACTCAACAACAACCGCTTCGCGGAATGCCGAAAACCGCTCCTTTCTTTCGTTCAAAACGGGGAAGGCGACGACCCTACTACGTATATCCTCGTATTGTAAGTTATAATGAGTGCCCTACACGTGGCATTCTCCGTCTGGAATGATGACACTTTCCCCATCATAGAATTCTTTATATAGAGAGAGAGAGAGATAATTAAGGGCCAAAAAATGCCATGTGTCTTCTAATTAATATTTGAACGTAATTTTAATTGGAGGTATCGAATACAATAAATTACAAAATAAAAAATTAATGAAAATTGTGATTACAAGTTAAATTAAGTTGTACTTAAGTATTTTATTTTATTTAAACAATAGTATTTGAATCCCCTTCCTCTTAAATTCAAAAAAAAAAAAATAAATCAATCAAAATAAAAACGTAATAATGACTTAGATTTAAACAAAATTGAAACGAAATAGTAAAACTCAATATTAAGCAATAGCAAAATGGATTCATCGTTTGAAATCGAATGTTAATTTATCAAAAGTATTTGTACAGAATTATATATTTCATGCGGCTTTATTGCATTTTATTCGCTTACACAAGCATACCTTACACATGTTAATTTTTTGATTGATCTGCATATACTCGAACATTTGATTTATGAATAGTTTGATAAATCATAAACTAATTCGTTTCAATAAATTTTGAAGAAGCAAATATTATTTTCCTTTAGATAAAAAATGTCATTTTATTTTATCTTTTTCAATTTTAATTACTGTCAACTTATCAAATAATTCAAAGATCCTTCTGTGTACTATTCCATTAGTTTTTGTTCAAAATTAAGTTGCACTTGAGCATTTGATTTATTGATTGATGCATGATCTCTCTATCTGAACAGCAGTATTTAAATTCCCTTTCTTTTAAATCCAAAAAGAAAATTAAATCAGTCAAAATAAAAATGTAATAATGACATAAACTTAAACAAAATTGAAATTAAATAGTAGCACATACAATTTGACATTTATTTTTAATGATACCAGAATGGATTTATCATTTGACATTGAATCTTAATTTGTCAAAAAATATTTGTACAGAATTATATATTTCATGCAGCTTTATTGCATTTTATTCACTTACACAAGCATACCTTATACATGATAAATTTTTTATTGATCTGCATATATTCAAACATTTGATTTATTGATTAATACATGATTTCACGTTTAAAAAGTAAAATTAGAAATTTTTTTAAATTCAAAATAAAATATAAATATTATAATTATTTTTTCTTGTCTCGATGAGGAAGTGAACAGTTATTTGTTGGAAATATGGAAGAATATATAAAAGAAGAATGATGAAAAGCACATACCCATCGATTCCTTAAAATAATGCTGCAAAAGGGTCGCATGTTGTGATTGTCTTGGGACTATTTACGAGGGGGTGGTGTCAAATTGTGTAGTATTCCTATCCTCTCGCTTTGGCTGTGGTCCAAGCCTTCCTTCATTTCATGCAAGCAGGGTTTCCTTCCCCTTTCCTTATTTTTTTTCTTTTTTTAATCAAAATTGTAACAATATTTTTGTAAATAATAGATAATGGGATAAGTTTTTATAATTCGAAAAATTCCGATTTGGAATTTCAAATGTCAAAATCATATCACAATTTTTATTTTTGTTTTTAGAAGAATGCCTCGAGCTAGGAAATTTCCTTCGTACTTGTACCGCTACAATATTTGTTTTCTTTTTTTAAAAATAAATTTTACATAAATCCCTTGTAGTGTAATAGAAATACGAACAAAGTTCAAAACCCAAATAAATTAATAAAATAAAATGGAAAAAAACCCAAAAAATCAATTCAAGCTAAACGCAAACCTGAAACAAGAGGTGATGGAACAAGAGGATTGAAGATTTAAGAAGGAAAGTAACCCACTAGAACTCGAGTAACATTAGAATTCAAAAGGACTTAGTATTGAGAGGGAAAGTGAAATCTAAGAAACAAGAAAAACCCATTAGAATTCAAATAACCCATTTTACAAGAGGATTTACCAAATTTTTTTTAAAGGCAAATTGATATTGATTAAGTGAAATGGTTTTTTTTTTTTTAATAATTGAGGAAGGAGGGATACAAACTATTCTTTTTAGACAGAAAGATTATACACCAATCAATGAACCAAATGCATACTGATTAAGTGAAATGGTTGAATACATAATGCTAGCCTTGATTAGCAAAGGCCTTTTGCAGCCAAATGCATAACACCTGTCTTAGTTAAAGCAATTTTACTGGGCATTATGCTCTGTTTCACTTTACACGCTTCCTTACCGAATGCACTTGAGGCACGCCCAATCCCTTCTCAACAACCACAAGGAAAAGGCCCAAGACGAAACTTCCTGCGACAACACAAAAGTTTGTTGCTCACCAGCTGCTGCCAACTCCATCCCATGGATTGCTTGCCGTCCTTGTCCACCCTCCTTTGCTTTTAGCGTATGCTTCCTGTTTCCGGGGTGTCAGTCTTTTTATTGAAATTTTAACTGAAAATTTAACACTGTTGATAGCTTTACCGCTGGTGGAGACCCATCAACCCAAAAGAAAAATAAAAAGAATAACGAAATATTTGTTGATTGATTCTTTGTTGAGTTCTGTATTCGAGGAATTGATTTTGTTTGTGTTTTGTAATATTTATAATATTAGAGATGTGAAAAACAAATTTTGAAGATGGGATAGAGACAACTTCACCAATTTATATTTTCTTTTTCTTAGGGGTTTCAAGTTATTTTTTTCAGATTTTGGATAAAATACTTTTATCCTTAATAAATTCACAACTTATTGAGTAATATATATATATATATATATGATTTTAAAATTATTATTATAAAAATTAATTAAATAATATTAATCTTTTTAAATTAAAAATATTATCTACAATATCATCCAAACAATAAAAAATAATAGTTTTTCAAAAAAATGCTTTCATGAAAAATCTATATTTTTCACAAGATAATCCGAATAATAAAAAATGTTTTTGACATTTTATCCAAATAATAAGAAATATTCTATTTTCCTATAAAATATTTTACACAAAAAAATTTTTCCCTCAACAAGTTATTTTTCGATTACAGAACGAAGCCTTATATGAACTTAAAATCATACCATACAAATACTACATAATATATAAAATTACAAAAATATATACCAATAAAGTTATATAACATACCAATAACAAAAATGCCTTTAGTGCTACATGGTATACTATATGAGGAATGTGCCGTTACTACCACATGGCACACTAAATCATTCTTAACATTATACGGAATAGGCATTCTTAATCTACAAGGCATAGTATAGCAATTCTTGAACTATATGGCATAGCATAGGTAATTTCCTAGCTAAAGTATATTGCAAACTTTGTGAAATCCTTACATGATCATGTTTTTAGATAATATGCTTTTGTCACATGCTACATGACCAATAGGCTGAGGAACAGCCATTCGAGGTGTCAAGCCAGTAGATGGCAGACCATGAGAGGGATGAGAAGGTCACTCATGAGCCATAGAGGTTGCCTACCCAAGCATACAGGCCAGGCACGTAAATAAGCACTAAGCCAAATAGGCCAAGCACATTAAGTCATAGCAACTTAGCTGAGCTACGCAGCCAGGTGAGCCATACAGATTGTCTTGTTAGCACCAACAACCACTATGCCAACCTCATGCCCTTGTCAAAGTCTACCTGTTAAAGGGTTTCCCTAGGCCTATAAAGTCTTTCTCTTAACTTCACTTTGCTTCCTTGTTCTTTTTTTTTTTTTTTGCTTACTAGTTGTGTGAGTGAAAGCTAACCAAGTGAAGGGGTAGGCTATCTGGTTGACTTAGGTTGGACTCAGGGGAGTTATGATGACCTAAGGTGGCACATGGGGTGATTTGAAGAGCCACCACATGACAAGTGGTATCAAAGCAAGATGATTGGGCATGAATGATGAACGGAGGAAGAGAACAAGTCACATCAACTTTAATGGTGAGGGAAGGCTATGGGGCTACGAGTGGGAAGAAGTTGAGCTCGAAGGATGTGTTGTCTTTGAGGGAGCCCTAGGTGATTAGAGTGTGAGCTCATAGTGGGTGAGCTGAGAAAGTAGTATGATGAGATCGAGGCATGTTCGAGTGGCTAGAGTTCTAAGGGAACGAGCTACTCATGGAGATGCAAAGAGGCTTAAACCAGTCACTCGACATCCTGATCTAAAAGAATATGAGCCTAGAGGCCATGGTGGAGATGTTGAAGTAAAAGCTGAAGTAGTTGCGACGAGAGAAAGTTACCTGTCTAGCCACTTCGATTACTAGGTTCTCTAGTGCAAGTGCCCATGCCATAACCATTTTGTGGGCAGTCACTCTTCCAAGTAACTTGACAACTTCGTATGGACTATGAAGTAGTATTTTTGAGTGGCCAAGATAAAAAAAGGGGCTAAAGTGAGCACTTTCACTTTTCTTTTTTTACAAATGTCGTTCTCATATGGTGTCATCACAAGGACAATAGGGATGAAGCACAATGAGCATGCTATGATCACATAAGAAAAGTTCACGCAAGAGTTGAGACAATTTGCTAACCCAAATATGCAGATGATGAAGCCTGGGGCAAGATCTATAAGTTCATATAGAAGGGCAAGGTGAGGGACTACTATTGAGAGTTATCTGAGTTATTGCTCAGGTATCAAACATGAGTGAGTGAGAGATGCCATTTTACTTAATTGATGGGTTGAAACCATGGGTAAAGGTTGAGTTACAACATTATGACATGCAGGATATGCGTAGGGCTATAGCTATGTTAGAATCGTTAATCGAGTTTGAGCGTGTGACTTCCCCAAATAATGGTAAGGCAATAAGGAAGAGAGTGATGAAGGCTCTTTGTTTGACAAAGAGGCCAAAGGGAAGCTTGCTCACTGCAAGGTTAAGATTGCAAACAACAGTCAAGAGAAAGGAATTTTCATGTGCTACTTGTGTGAAGATGCCCATTAAGTGAAAGGCTACCTAATCAAGAAAAAGTTTTCAACGATTGATTACAAAAGTAACAAAAATGAGCCATAATAATAAGAGCCTAAGTGATTAGGTGCCATCAAGGGGAATGAGAAACCTATGAAAGAGTTGAGGTTGGGAGCTATTAGAAGGTGCCACGAGACAGAGGGTTTTCAAT